CTCCAAACCCACTTTCAGGATTTTCTTTGAGCATGCAATATTAGGGTCCCCCAGTTCAATCCCCAGTGTTAATGCCATAGGAGAGGCCAGCCAATGACCTATGAATCTGGTAACTAGGATTATTTCACACCTAGTAAAGCTCCGGATGGCAAAGGGACACATCCCTTTCACCCACAAACTTATTTGTCATCTTTTGGGCAGCAGAAGCCAGACACTGCAGCCACAGTGGACAAAACTCTCTTCAGAGCCAAAGGCAACATGCTGGAAGCAATCAGTGCTGATTAGTGTTTGGGGAAATCCTTGGCCTAAGTGCACTCTTTGACTCAGTTTTTCCAGTCGAAGCCATCACGAGTCATGCAGTCTTGGACCTGGAAGGAAGAAATTCCCATTCATACCTCTAGGATAGTGCCATCTTTTCTGCAGGAAGAAGCAGAGAGGAGAGCTCAAGTGGTCCCAAGTGCTAATCCTGGGCCTTGCTTCCAGGCAGGAAGCAGGCGTCAACGTAGCTGGGCTGGAACTTTACCCAATATTTTCCTAGCTTGGAAGAGAGGCCCTAGGTACTCTTTATTATAAACAGCGTGGACTTAGCTGTTGATAATAAATAGGATAAGGAGAAAAATCCATTTGTCCCTTCTGAACCATCAGTCTACATCACTTCTCCAAGAACAAGCTCCCCAGATATGTCTGTAAAAACCCAGCCTCAGCCTCCACAGCTGAATGGATTGGGGTGGAACCACCAAGGGGAGCTGAATCACTTTCTCCTTTGAGGTCCCAGCATAAGGCTGGACTAAGTAAACTGTAAACAGCCAGGAGCCACAGGGCAGCCATGCTGTGTAGCCAAGCCCATCTGTGTACAGAGAGAAGGGAATAAGACAGACACCAGGGAAACAAAGAGAAACCAGAGGCCAGATCCCTGCCTTTCTGTTTCCTGGTCCCGTCTTCCTGAGACCCCTATAGGACTGCCCTAGGTCTGTGAACCCGTGATAAGGATCATTGGTTAGGTTCTTTGTAGGGATCACTGGTTGTTTCCGAGGCCCACCTGGTACGGTGGGGGAGGGATGCTTGAGACAGGCCACCCATAAGCACAGTGGTTGGTTGCGAGCTGGGTACATACTTCGAGGGGGCCTAATCAGCGACTGGACCTTGTATGGGAACAACCGGAAACAATGCTGTGCTTGCCACTCTCAGTCTCTTTCCTCTGGCTGGGCTTGCTCTGGGAGTCATACAGCAGCCTTTCTGTCACTGTGTGGACCTCAAGGGGACACAGTAGAAATGAGGAGAAAGATCAAACCTGATGACCCATTTGAGCCTCAGGACCCAGCCCCACTTGGGGCTAGCTGTACTATGGGACTTCTCAGTTACCGGGCCAGTGGTCCCTTTTTTTGTCTTGAAGTATTTTAAATGGGTTTCTACCACTTGCCACCAAAAAAAAATTCTTGATAAAACTATCCTTACAAAAAACAATTTTTTCATTAAGTTAGCTCAGGTAAGTTCCTCTGGCTCGTACTAAAAAGAACAATACCTAATATATTATCGAAATGATTTATCCATTCCACATAGCTAGAGTTTAAGACATATTTTTCTCAAAATTACCCAACATTGCAAGCAAAAGTCCACGAGATTCCCCAGACCCTACCCAGTCCCATCAGAACTGAAGAGAAGTCTTACAGCCTTGGACAAGAGTAGGACATGGTCTTACCCTCGGTTCCCTGAGATTAATTCCCTCACAGCACCATGCTGCTGCCATAAACAGTCCCAGCACAAAATTGCCAACTGGGAAGAATCTGAGAACTGCTCTGCGGTCTGAGATGAAAGGGGATAAATCTATAGACAATGCAGCTCTCAAAAGGTGAACGAACAACAAAAACTAATCAAACAGAGCAAAGGCAAATCTGAGGTTTGCCCAGCGTGAATGAGGAGACCTAGTTCACTACAGCTGGTTTCCAGGCCAATATGGAAAACCAGACTGGTATGAATCAGGAATTGTTTGGGATTTTAGAAGATTTGTTCAGCCTAGGTTGCAGAAAACCCACGCAAACCAAACACAGGCGGCTTTGCCAAAAATGCAAAATTGGCCTCCACCTAAGACAGTCCCTTGAAGGGCAAGGGGAAGAATGGGGTCAATTGGGAAACTGAAGAAATGAAATGGTTTGCCAAACTAGCCACAGGAAGAATCTCAAGAATGCTAAAATCTCTAACCTCTCTAATGAGCCTCAGAACTCTCTAAAAAGTAAGCAATGAAGAAACTCCAGGCAACCCAGCTGGATGTGCCCCGCACAGGGGCCGCTTAACTAACAGCAAAGTTGTAAGGCTGGGACCACCCAGCCAGCCACAGTCAAGATAGGCTGCAAGCTCTTAGGGGGAATCCACAAAGACAAGTCAAACAATGATTTGTGAGGTAGGTTTGAAAAGCACGGCCCAGATGACCCTGCACAATCACACAACGGCTTTAATCTCAACTTGCTAAATCAAGGGTCTGCAGATTCCAAGGCTATAGTTAAAGCTGTTTAGCTCAAGGCACATATTTAAGGCAGGTATGTCTGTTTTCCAGTGACCTAAGATACCAAAGCCATGGGGGTGGATAAGTTACCTATCATTTGGAACGTAAGGAATGAAGAGGTTGGCTTAGAGTTCATGGGCCTGCCCCACTGGTAGTATGAGTTGTGGGAGAGGGTTCTTCAAGAAAAGCAAGGAGGCCCTGACTGGTATGGCTCAGTGGACTGGGCGTCGTCACAAGTTCAATTCCCAGGCAGGGCACATGCCTGGGTTGTGAGAGGCCACCAATCAATGTCTCTTTCTCTCTTTCTCCCTCCCTGTGCCTCTCGCTAAAAATAAATAAAATCTTTTTTAAAAAAATAAGGAAGAAAGGAGTCCTCCCAGCCCAGCCCCAATCCCCTGAGACCTGCCACATCCTAGCCTGACAACTATCCTTTGGATCAGAGACTAATCAGGCAGGCCAGGGGCACTCTGCTGCCTCAGATGGATGCACGCCTGACAACTCATCTTTGGAAATCCCTGCCAACATGTCTTCTTGTTTTATAAATGAGAATAATCCTATGGCCTTTCTTCACTGTAATATAAGTAAAATGATTCTAAATCAAGTTAAACCCTTCTGTCACCACACAGAGCTCTGTGCTCCAGAGTTCCTCCAGACCTGGCGCCAGGCTCTGTAGCTGGGCGACCTTAAATGGAGCCATGGTTTTCTCCTCTGTAAAATGGGGATTAACACCATTCCTCAGACTTCGTGTGAGGATTAACTAAGACGAGGCATGAAAAACTGCCTGGTACATGGTAGGAACCACATCACTATGCATGGTTAGCACTCAAATAATGTTCTAATTAAGTTTCTATAACAATCAAACTTTAAAACAAGAACAAGTATGTGTCAGTTCTGTGATCTTGAAAAAACCAATAAAGATTTAGGGAAAGATTGAAAGAGAAAAAAATAAGATATACTCAGTTCTCACTGTATCCCATGTGAATGGGATAGAGGGGGAGTATGTTTTAAAGGAACCCTGTCCTCAGATCTGCATCACAATCAGTTCCGCCCCGCCCTCCCACGCGGCAATCAGGCGGAACAGGCACCGGCTGGGAGGCTGTCCACCCGCCTTCACAAGAAGGCCAATGGCCCCATGAGTGGGATGTAAACAGCCACCAGGTTGCTGGCCAGAGGCCAGCTCCATAGGGTAGAATGTAATTTTTTACTCACACTTCCCTGCAGTTTCAGTGACTGTCCTATTTGCTTTTGCTCCCTGGGTCAGGGTGTACTATTATTCAATAAACACTAATCCTGCGGGAGAGCTGAGGAGGTCAGACACCTCAGCACAGCACTGGGGGATTTACTATCCCAGCACCCCAAGGATCTGGCTTGCTTCTACGTATTTCCTCCCAATGTGAGATTTCTCCTTCGTACTGGGAGCAGGTACTGATATTGAACAACTGAGGCCAAATCCTGAGACTTCCCACCCACAAAACAAACAAAAACAAAAACAAAAAACCAGGGTACCATTCTGGGCAAAAAGTAGAATAGACAATAAAGTTACTGGCATCTTTCCAAGAGCAAGTCAGAGCATTTCTGAATCCTTTGCAAGGAAAAGAACACCCAATACGATTCCATTCTCAGAGCCCAAGAAGGCTAGTTCTGTTCAGTCTAGTCACTGTGGTTTTTGTCACTCAGCAACTTGAATTACAGTATAACTGATGTCTTGTAGGAAATGCACAGGCTGGGAAAACAAGGTGTGGGGGTGGTAACCTAGTTTCACCCCAGTCAGACTAGCCCCAGGTCAATTGTTAACCTCTGGGCATCAGTTTTCCCATCTATGAAATGGGATGTCTACATCGTTAGGCCTCCCCTAGATAGCAAAGAACAAAGACCCAAGACACCATTTTTCATTTGCTTAATGGTGGAATTACTTTTATATATGACTTTTTTCATTTGTCAAATCCTAATCCAGCAAAATACAGAAATGAGTCCTTCCTACCGATCACAGGCAGTAACCAACCAAAACCACACGTGTCTGATTTTCAACTCTGTGGTTCTGATAATCCTTATGTAATTCTAACTTTCGGCAATCAGCAAAAGCACTTACATGAGCTGCTGGTATTACAGTATCAAATTGTTCAACAACATCTAGTTTCTTCCAGGTGCTGGGTCCTGCTGAGAACACAGCCTTGCCCAAGAAGCAGAACAAACAAAGCAGATGACTGAGATGCTGGAATTGAGGTGATTCACAAAGCACCAGATTTTGATTCTAAGCAGACCTCGAACTCAAAGTCTTCAACAACAGTCTCAAGAATTTATTACCACAATTGTTTTCATTGATTTTATTTTTATGCTTACTTGTTCTTTATGGCAAGTGATAGTGGCTTTCTATTGGTGAGCCTGTTCTATAATTTCCATTTGAAATAAATAAATACAATATGCCTAGAAGCAAATTTTAAAAGCTTTTTCTCTTCAAATCATTTTTTCCCATACCAATGGAGAAGCATCTTGATTCACCATGGCAGTAGCAGCTGTGAAATGGATGATATCAAACAAAGCTGTCTTGAAACATTTCTTTCCAATTCAAAATGGAGCTTTATACTGTGTTTGCCATAAATCCACGTATTCTGCTCTTCCAGATGACTATAATTGCAAAGCAGGGCTTGCTTTGACATCTGATGGCAGGACGATAGTTTGCTACCATCCTTCTGTGAGCATTTCATATGAACACACAAAACCTGTGCATAATTATGAAGAAACACAGGATCAAGTACTGAAAACCAGACTAGAAGAAAAAGATGAACACCTTGAGCAAGGACCCACGATAGTACAAGTTAACAAAGTGTTTTTTACTACTAAGCACCGCTGGTATTCTCGTGGACAGTATCACAGACATCGTAAGAAACTGAATCCTCCAAGAGACAGATGATATTGAAGTTTGCAGTAATCAAAGGGAAATGTTACCCTGTGCTCAGCTGCCATTTGAAAAAATGCAATCAAGTATACTCATTACTATGTTATATAGCAGAATAATAATAAAATGTCTTTTCATCAAAAAAAAAAGAAAGGAAGAATGAAAAAGAAAGCCAAAGGGCTTAGAGGCTGCTCTGGAACAGCTGTGGTCATAAACAGTATCATGGCCACTGTATAACCGTTATATTGGTCATTTGTGTGTACAGAACTGCGAGAACAACAGAGAAGAAATGTCTAATTCTATGTGGGGGATTTGAACAGGGCTTCTACAACGGAAAAGGCATCTGAATTGGTTCCCGACCTTCAGGGAAAATGAGTGGTCAGGCAGAGGGAAGATCAAGGCCGCAGCACGGCGCGGGGGCGTGGCGGAGGGAGGAAACGTGGTCAGCAATAAGGGGTTGGGTGCGGCTGATGCAAACACTGAAGCCAACACCAGCAGCCCACTGGACATAACATACTCTGTGGGCTCTTCGCAAAGTTAAAAAAAATAAAATCAAACAGTTATAAATAACAGTTTCATCAAGACTTTAAATGGATTTCATATCAAAGACCACGTGGCTGCCTGGAGCACCACGTTCAGCGGGAAGGCGCATCAGTCAGGACTGCAGAGGAGGGAAAGGGGCGGCACCAAAGCCAGCTGTCTGCCGACCCAGATCCTGGATCACGGTTCAAAGTTTACAGACGAGGAAACTGAGGCCTAAAGACAGAGCTGATGAAGAGCACATTCAGAATAAGAACCAGGTGTGCCCTCTCCATGTTCTTCTTAGTCCATGTGCTTCTTAGCCCATGTTCCAGGACCCATTTCTACCTGAGCCAGGAGCACTTAAGGCCACAGATCCACTACTTTAAAAAGCACATTTGTTCTCTAAGTCTTGAGTCAATTAATTAAGAGGCTTAAATGTATGGATCCAAAACAATGAAACTCTGTGGAATAAAGGCCCTGGTGACATCACCAGTGAGAAAAGGATGGTCTCATCTGAAAGTGCAGCATTGCAGAAAGTTAATACCAATAAAAACCTTTCCCATGTTGTTGCCCCACACCGAGTATGTTGTGCTGGGCCAAACTTCACACGTGGTCAGCTCAGCGGTGAATAGGGTGGTCTCCTCTAGCTGGGGCTGTGATGAGAAGCCACTCTGATTGTCCAACAAGGAATTCTCGAACCTTCCACTTTCCCCCTAACAGAATCTTCCAATCTGGAATAACACTCAAGACGACTAAGGCTGCTGGTTTGTCAGAAGTCCAAACCCCGTAACCACGATCTTTTTTTAGTTTTTAATTGGGGAAAGTCACTGTGGCTGAGCAACATTTTCCTCTCCTTCAACACGGATCCTGGAAGGCAATCAAACCCCCTATTTCTCACACATTCATTCTGTCTTCCAACTCTTTCTCTTAAAAAAGGGGGGATGGGAGTACCTGTTGTTTTCATGAAACTGCCATTTTGTACCCTCTTTAGATGGAAATCCAGCAACTCTGAATGACTAAGGATCACAAACTAAGTAAGATACCTGGTGTTTTTATAAGGCATGGATGCCACTTAAATTTGAAGTCAGATTTTATTTTATGTAACTCTAACTAACACCTTGTAATTATATAGACAGCTTAAATGAAACCTCAAGCATGCTAAAATTTACATGTTTTTTTCCCTCTTTGATCTGCCTGTGAGGTGAAGAGGTAATCTTGCCTCAAGGCAGGGACAGAGGTGATTACCCTAAGTCACAGGCCATATAATACCACAGTCAGTGACACTAGAGTTTCATAAAATTAAGGGGGTTTCTAAAAAACAAATAGCAACTTAGTGTAGCAGTGATCCAGTGTGAGGAGCTTCCCTGGGGGGGGGCCATTCTCCCATTCTCTTCAGTGTTTCAGATTTGGGGGCTGGGAGGGAGGTAGAACATGTGATCTAGATTAAGCCAATCCCAGGAAACACCCTGGCCAGTCATTGGCTGTGGAGAGGGCAGGTGACCCAGCCCGGTCAGAGTGAGCCTCAGGGCTTTCCTGGGACTGCTGGGACGAGAATCTGCTAACAGTGAAAATGAAAACCTTTGTGGTGGGGGACAGAGAAATTAGAAAGTGACTAAAACCACAGCTGCTTTTACCAACCACGTTGAAAAATATGGTTCTTTAAGAAAAAAATGCTTCTTGTGGCTAGGATATGCAAGAAATGGAACTTTTATACACTGTTGGTAGAAACAGAAAATGGAAAAATTGGAAAACAGTTTGGCAATTTCTTAAAAAGTGAAACATATATCTACCATATGATCTAACCTTCCACTCAGAAAAAAAAGGAAATATGTCCACATATAGACTTGCACAACAATGTTCATAATGGCTTTATTTGGAAACAAACCAAATGTCATCAACAGAAGAATATATAAACAAATTATGGTAAATCAATAAAATGAAATGCTGCTCAACACTAAAATAGGAATGAAATGATACATACAATAAGAAGGGTGACTCTCACAATAATTATGCTGAGTAAAAGGAGAAAAACAACAACAAAAAGAATACATACTGTACGGTTCCAATTACATAAAACTCTAATCAATGCAAACTGACCTATAGTGACATAAAATAGATCAGTGATTGGGGATGGGAGTGGGCTGGAAAGAATGAGAGGGGGAAATTACAGAGGCACAAAGAAGCTTTTGGGGGTGGGTAGATATGTCCACTATCTTGCTTACGGTAATGATTCCCCCATGTTTGCATGTATGAATGAATGTATGTGTATATAACAAAACCTATGAAACTGTAGTTTTTTAAAATCATTCTGACAGTCTGAGACTCATTTTCCTTCAAAGCAAAACAGAGGAAACATGACACATTACTGATGTTTAGAACTTAAGATTTGCCCTCAGTTCAGTGGATACAACCACTTTTATCCTTTTTTAATATTTGTATATATTGCAAAATGATCCCCAGAATAAATGTAGTTAACATCTGTCATCATATATAGTGACAAAAAATTTTTTCTGGTTATAACTTTTAAGATGCAATACATACAGCACTCTCTTAGCAACTTTTAAATATGCAATGCAGTATTACTAACTATAGTCATCATGCTGTATATTACATTCCCATGACTTATTTATTTTATAACTGGAAGTCTGTGCCTTTTGATCCTCTTTACCCATTTTTTCTACCCTCCACCTCCTGCCTCTGGCAACTACCAATCACATTCATCCATCAGTGGATGGTTATTGTAAATAATCCATGCCCTGGTTATTGTAAATAATGCTGCAGTAAACATGAAGGTGGTCCTGGCCAGTGTGGTTCAGTGGGTTGTGTATCATCCCACAAACTGAAAGGTCATGGGTCCAATTCCTGGTCAGGGCATATGCCCGGGTTGCAGGTTGGGCCCCCAGTCAGGGTGCATGCAGGAAGCAGCCAGTCTCTCACATCAGTGTTTCTCTCCCTCCCTTTCCCTCTCTGGAGTCAATAAAAGGAAAAAAGTAAAAAAATAAAAAAAGAGGGTACAGGCTATTTCAAGTTAGTATTTTTGTTCTCTTTGAATAAATACCCAGACATGAAAATGATGGATAATATAGTAGTTATATTTTTAATCTTTTTGACGAACCTCCATACTGTTTTCCACAGTGGTTACACCAATTTACCTTTCCATCAACAGTGCACAAAGGGTTTCCTTTTCTCCACATCCCCGCCAGCACTTTTTATTTATCATTTTGATAATTGCTATTCTAACAAGTGTGAGGTGATACCTCATTGTGGCTTTGATTTGCATTTTCTTGATGATTAGTGATGTCAAGCATGTTTCATATCTGTATGAATTCTTTGGAAAAAATGTCTGTTTAGATGGACTGCCCATTTTTTAACCAGATTCTTTCTTTGTAGCTCAAGTTGTAAAAGTTCTTTATATATTTTAGATATTAACCTTTTACCAGGCATATGGTTTGCAAATATTTTCTCTCATTCATAGGTTCCCTTTTCTTTTTGGTCATGGTGTCCTTTGCTGTGCAGAAAGTTTTGAATTGTATGTCATTCTACTTATTTACTTTTACTTTTATTGTCTTCAAACTGTACACTTTTAATGTGTCATTTGTTGTATGCCAATTATACCTCAATAGCATGGTTTTTAAAAAAATAAAAATAAACACTTCTGAGCTCATCTATTTAAGCACGTGGGACACCAAGACCACAGCTGCCTAGACAGGGACTGCCAAACCACAACGTGGACAGGCTTGATTTTGGCCACAACGCAAAGGTGTTAGATTGCAACTCTCTCATAACATTCATCCTCTGTTGAAACATCCCTTACTATGACTTTTTACTACTTTTAAGGGCAAGGCAATATTTCGGGAGTCTCTTGAGATATTTCCTTGAGAAATAACTCCTTCACATAGACAAAAAGCAATTGACCAGGAGCTCCTGGAGGCAAATATTTAAAGCTTTTTGCCTCTAAGAAACTCAAGCCTGCCATGTTCACAAGCTACCCATTGGGAGGGGCCTTACATTCTAAGGTTATGAGCTTGGGAGTTTCAACATATACTAGGGGAGTGGGAGGGAGAACTCCTGCTAAGTGTGAATGTCTTTTGTTTTAATATCATCCTGACATCTTGAGGACGATCTGTTTTCTTTCTTATAAGCTGGGCCCAAGCTTGCCTTTAAAGCAAACAAAAAAATAAAAGTCCTTGTCTTTTTCCTTCCCTTGGTTAAGCTCAGCAATGCATTTACCAGCATGAAAATTTTAGATGCACTTTTTGTAAGGAAAATATTTCCAACAAAAACATACACAAAAGGGGTGGCTGAAAAATAATACAATATAACCACCAATGCAACTGAAGAAATAAAACGGTACAAAGAGCTTCAAGCCCCTGCACACCCCACCATGATGCACACCCCTCTCCTCCTCCCGGCAGCCCCCGTCCAAAGCGGCGATCGTTCTCATGAACAAACCTGCATTTCTATTACATTTGTAAAAGTTTATAGAACAATGT